CGTAATGAGGGTGATGTTTCTTAACGACTTCAACGATTGCTCTGAAGGCACAGACATTGTGGCTGTCTCTGAATCAACTAAGCAGAGAACTGTTGCTTTGAATGATGTATTGCCTGTTGTTGCATTGTTAACCCAGTAAATTATTCTCAGATGAGAAACATCTTATTTTTTTTCCTTTTTTTTTTTTTAAGGAAAAAGACAAATTCAGTAAAAGCTGCTTCAGAAACTGAATGGGAATTTCTTCTAGCCCTGCCTAAATAGTGGGCAACTTGAAAAGAAGTTACAGGAGATCAAATTGTTTTCTGGTGTAACTTAATGGGAAGTCAGGTACATAAATTGAAAAAAAAAATGAAGAATAATATGATGAGAAAAGAACAGTTCTGGCACAACACCTCACTGAGAGATATGAGTGGTGACTGTGGGTTGAATGTTGTTTGAAAGTACCATCAAAGGTAGATTAAAGTCAGGAGTACTGTGAGAGGAAATGGATAACTAGCACAGCAAGAGCAGTTACTCCAGGGGCTTTCTGCTGCTTATATGTGCACAGCTGGGGCCTGGAAGGATGGGGGTTGTTTTGGAAGAGATGAAAGGTCATGTCAAGTTGATTTAGTGCCTACAAGTGCTATTGGTATGTTGCTTAATCCCTAATCTGTGAGGCAGAGAACGAGAAGTTTGCACTATTTGCTCGACTGAAAAATGTGGGTTCCCCACCACAACCACAAATTAGGAGCATTTCTAAAAATAGAAATCCAGGCTGATCTATATGTTTAAAAGAATCCTATCTTCACAGTGAGATCCAGGCTTCTCGTCGATTATAATATATACTCAGAATATCCTGAAACTTAAATCAGTTCTTAATCCCTGGCGAAACACACTTTTTAAAATGCATTTAATTTCCATTTTGTGGCACAAAGCTGAGTTCTGGAGTGTGTTAAACACTACTGGGACAAGAAATGCAGTACAAAGAGCACCAGATACAGTAGTTCCCTGCAGTCTCATAACATTCTGTACAAAAAGGTACAAATACTGGAGGTATTAAAATTGGAAAATTAAATGCAAAGTTCTTTGTTTTTAAGTTTGCAATGTGAAGTAGCTCATGCTATATATAGGAGAAAAACAGTGCTTTCAAAATGAATAAAGTAGTCTGCAGGGAAAGATAGAATTAGCAACTGATGAAAGTAAGTGAATAATAAACCAGGCAATAATACAAAATCTGAACATACATAAAAAGCTTAATCACAATCTATATATAGATTTTTACATCTTAGGAAAATAATGTAACATATTGCTTCTCAAGGACATCTCTGACTCTCATAATAGCCTAGATTTGTACTAGAAATCAAGATCCTCTAACAGTTTATTCCTGGCAAAAAAGTAAGTTGACTCATTTAAAATATTACCATAATCCTCATTTAAGCAATTCAAAGCTCTCAGTCAAAAGAAAGTGGGAGCAGCGTTTTCACCAGTGCCAGGAAGGTGACTGTCACCAGGCAGGATGAGCATGTGCCAAGTGCAATGTTCTTCATTAAACCTCACGTCCATGGTGAGCAGATTTCTGACTGCAACAATTTTCATTTCAGACACTGGAGAAAGCAGCCCATTACTCCTCTCATCCTTCATTTCTGACCTGCTGTTTTATAGAAGTGAAGGTGCCCTGCTCTTAGGAAACAGTAGAAGTCTGGCAAAAGTACTGACTGCTCAAAAGTACTCCATCTCTTCTCCTCATAGAGGCTTTGGAGAGACTGGATTTTTCCTTTGAAGTGTAAACATTTTTCTGTAACTTTTATTTAATGAGAGATGAGGATTCTCAGCGCTTGCTGGACTGAGCCCTAGAACAGAGGTTACTTCACAAAATGGCAGGAAGGGTGTGCTTCATTCTTCCTTACCTAGATATTTCGGGGGAGCTAAGACAACAACATGACTTAAATCGGAACAATTGTTATTCTCCTTGGTGAAAAATTCTGTTAGTTGTAAGCAAATATGAAAACTGCTGTACAGAGCGATACAATACTGTACAATGCTGGCTCTAACATTAAATCTAAGCAGAAAAGAAGGCTACGTCCACTAGGATGGTCAGGGGAACACAACTTTCAAAAAGAAAGCTAAAAGGAAGCTTGGCAGGTATGTCCTGTGAAAATAAGCATACAAGATGTATGGTTGCTGTCTATAAATGCAAACACTAAGAGGAAAATGAAATATTTAAGCTAAAGAACAGTGGTGGCATGAGCAAAAACCTGATATAAAGCAGACATTAATAAAATTATGCTAGAAGTTGTGCAAGCCTTGGAGAGCAGTGCAGCTCCGGAATGCTCTTCCGGAGGAGGGGGGAGCAAAAAACTGACTACTTTTAACATGGAGTTAGTTAAGTTTATGAAGGGAATTCCTGTGTACTGTGTAAAGTCATTGTCATGATAATAAGAACATATTAAATTTCAGTACTTTATTTATTTAGTGTCTTTGATCCAAAGCACTTATATAAAAATGCAATAATGAAAATTCCTTTCAACCAGTACAATAAAAGTCATAATTCCTTGGGGTATTTCATTTTCTTTAGTAAAACACAATTTGGACACGTTCCATTCAATATTTGCAGAAATGACAGAGCATCAGCCCTACGAATAATAATAAATCTAGAACATAAGGTAAGCTATAGGTTATTGAAATTATGTGTTGCAAAGTTTGGATCCAACCTTTGCAATGCTAAACTAGCAACAGCTGAGGGAATTTGTGACTCTTTGGCAAGTTCACAGGTCTCCTCAAGTAACTGCCCTGAAAGTAATTTTTTTTTCAGCTCTGTGAATCTACGGCTTGTGAAACTGAGATAAAACCACTGCTTGGATCTGGATTCTCTGAAGGCCCCCGACCGACAGACCTAGTGAGAACTTGCAGTGTCCTTGGCAGCAGTGGGACTTTGCCACCCTTGCAGCAAGTAACCCTACTGGAGTGCATGGGCTGTGCAAGCCCATCTCTTCCTTCCCTTGTTTCTTTCGTGGTATTTCAATCCAACAGGCAAACTGGTGCTGCACCGTGTTTTGGGTGGGTGTTTGTAGGTGTGTGATAGTTTACACACATGCGACATGAATCAGGGACGAGACTACTGAATTTATGCCTGTGACCCAGCAGAGAACTTGAACCAGCCCTCCAAAAGGGAAAACCTTAGCAAAATGTTTCAAGTTCGGACACCTAATTTGGGTTATCGAGGTCTACCTTCAGGGCCATGTGTCTGGCTCTTCGGTTTTCAGGGACAGCGAGCAACGTCTTGCCTATTGATGTTATAACGTGTGCAGGCTATGTTGAAAACTCCAAGAGTTTTATTTGGGAAGGATAGAAAGGACCCGTTCCCCTCACACTTCATGGCCTAAATCAACTACTAACCGAAGTGAGGGGAGGGTGTTCAAACGAAATGGGGGGAGGGGGCCCTGTGTGTATATGTTGTTTCACACTGTGTATTCTGTGATAGATCACTGGGCAAACAGAAATCTGATCGTAGGTGCTCAGCTTTCTGGTTTTAGCTGGAGGGGATACAGCAACAACACCAAAAGATCCAGACCAGGCAGCAACCTCTAATAGCCTAAAAAGGGGAATTACCTCTTTGAACCATATTTTCTTTATTCTGCTAGTTGAGCCCCTCCTTGTTGTCGTGTACAAACACAGGCTTCCAAACATGACAATTTTAGCTTTAGTATTTTAATTTTTCTTCTAACTACTTTGAATTTATTTTCTGAACCTCTCTTGTCTTCACAAGTAAAACAACAAAAAAACCCCTTTAAAATACTTAATTGGAACATATATATGTAGTAAATGGGGTGGAAAAGCAGCAGGATCTGAAGTGAAATGCCGTTCTGCCCACTGAGTGCCAGTGTTTTAAAGCATGGGTCCCTAGAATTGTAACGAGAGGGAAGCAGTGGCTTCTGCCTGTTGGCTACAAGTGTTTGAACTCTGTACAGTTGTGCAAGGAGGAGACCGAGTGCTCAAAAAATAAGTTTATGCAGATTCAGGATTACTCGTGAAAACCCAGATGATCTGCTCTCTCATGCCTTTTTTTTTTTTAAAAAAAAAAAAGTACAGGCTAGCCCTTGAAATGATTTAAACCGACTACGTCACAGAAGCCGGTAGGAGGATCTGCCCACATTGAGTGCAGTATGAAGCTCTTTTTATCTGTTCCTTTCTTAGGCCCTTATACTCTTCCTTAGCTGTAAGTTGTGAGTTCCTTTCTGAGGGAAAATGTGACTTAGAGGGTTTTTTTTTCCTTAGAGTTTCCTTGGCAGAAAGCTTAATGGAATTGTCTGCCATTAACACCTGCTTTCAAGCTTTCCTGATAAAATTAGATCTTATATCTCAGCATCACAGATGGCATCTTTATAATTAGTCTTTTTGCAGTATATGAATGTCAGTTCCTAAAATGCTGCCTGTACATGTGGGAATATTTTGCTTCATTAAACAAATCCAAGTTTTTCATTGGAGCTTCTAATTGTTGAAAACCCACTTTTTTGTGTGTCTAATCTCAGAACTATTTTGATGGACTGAAGCACAGCATATCTTCAGCTTCATTGGAACCGAGCTGTGTGCAGATCACTTCTGGAAAGGGGAACCTGAGATTTCTTCATGAGCCTCCGTACCTAGAGCCACTTGCGGAAATGCAGTCTTTGAATATGTAGCTACCTGAAAATGAGGGGTGGGCTTCTTCAGGGGGCTCAGTATTGACCTAGTCTTGGAAGCAGAGGTAGGTCTATGCTTAGGAGCTTCTGAAAAATATTACCATACATAACATTTCAGAAGAAGAAAACCCAGCTTTTAACACACGTGCTCAAGAATAAGTAAACTTCTATTGAAATGTGAAGCGTAGAGGTGTTTTCAGACATGTGACAATCAGAATTACTGGTCAGAAAGATGGGGAAGAGTGTTCTCATGTCAGCGATTCACAGGTGATTGTTTTAAACTGCTGTAAAATGCATGGAAAGTCCCACACTAGTACAGATACCAGTATAGGTGATGGGTGATTTTTTCATTACTCGTGTCATAGCTGAGAATTTTTATTCCACTTGGGTACGTTCATTTCTCTGCTTAGATGAGGAAATGCACAAAGCAACAGATCATCACTATACCGTTAGCACTATTGTCATGGAAGTGGTAACATTTGTATGGAAAAGTCAGCATTTAGTACCTATGCAACAGGATGAAAATGTGCAAACTGTCAACTTGTAATAGAAATGTCTTTAGTTTCTCAAGTGCAAAGTTAGTGCAGTGTCAGCAACACTATCCTCTAGGGAAAAAAATGACAAATAGGAAAACATTTATAAACATAGCTCTTGATAGCTCTCATGCAAACTGCTGTCAAACTTGTACACTAATGCAGTGAATCATTCAGGCTCAGCTCACTGGGGGTACTCCGGCTCATATTGGTAAGACTGGCCATAAGGGATTTAACTTTATAAGCGTAGTAGTCCCTTAAGTTGACTGACGGAACTTCTTTCATGCCATCCCCAAAATCACAGCTTCTCATGGCACTCTCTAGCTGCTTCTGACGCCTATAAAAGTGGGAGAATTTATTGAAGATCAGTGTAATGGGGAGCACTACCACTAGGATACCGGCTAGGATGCATGCAGATGCTGTCAACTTGCCAGCAGTGCTCCCTGGCACAACATCCCCGTAGCCAACTGTGGTCATGCTAACAGTGGCCCACCACCAACACGCAGGGATGGTGGCTAGCCCCTCATTCTCTTCTTTCTCAATGGTGTAAGCCACTACTGAGAAAATGGAGATGCCAACAGAGAGGTAGAGTAAAAGAAGCCCCACCTCTCTGTAGCTGTACTTCAGGGTAGCTCCAAGAGACCTGAGACCTGTGGAGTGTCTAGCAAGCTTTAAGATGCGAAAGATCCTCATGAGTCTCAGGACTTGTGCAACCCTGCCTAAATTGGCTAAAGTTGGACTGCTTTCCACCACCAAGTTGACAATTAAGGTAATATAAAATGGAAGGATAGACATCAGGTCAATCAAATTCAGGGCATGCTTGAAAAATTTTAAAAAGTCAGGAGCTACTGCAAATCTTGCCACCAGTTCAAAAGTGAACCATGCAATACCAAAATGTTCCACGATTTCAAAGCGAGGGTCTTCTTCGGGGTTCCCGTTGCTGTCAACAATCTGAAAGTCTGGGAGGCTGTTCAAGCACATGGTCACGATGGAGCCCAGCACCACCAATATTGAAAGGACACTGAAGACTCGGCTTAAGACTGAGTACCCAGGATTATCCAAAGCGAGCCAGAGCTGCCTCCTGATGTTTCCAAAGGGTTGTTTGTCAAATTTAGAGGCATCATTGTAGAATGCCAAAATCTCATCAAAAGAAGATGTGGTACTTTCCTGGTCACTTTGTTCCTCCCATTTCTCTTGGTCTGGCTCCATTTTCCTCCCATGGTAGCTATAACTGCAGCAGGAGTCTATAAAGAATTCATTGATTCCCCAGTATTCAATCTCCTGGCTGAAAGAAAACACACAGAGTTCACCCATCACATGCAGCTTGCCGGTGTTATAAAAATGTAGCACGTAAGGAAAGAGCTCTGGGTTCCTGTCAAAATAAAATTCATTCTTGGCGTCATCATAGTCATCGCAGAGCTCCAGGATTGACTCCTTTGAGTGGCAGCTCAGCAGTTTGCCCAGCCTGGTCTCCGGGAACCTTAATAATGTGTTGGATCTCATCTTTTTCTTAAAGCCTCCAACGTTGATGCTGATCTCATTGTCTTCAAAATTTGCTTCGGATAAAGCCTTCAGACTCTGCCCTGTCATAGTGAGCTCCTTCCAAAGGAGTATAGGGAGTGAAAACCTAGGATACAATTGCACAGAAAATCGGCAGAATGAGCAAATCTACAGCATGTTCGCCTATTGACACTGTCTTTCTTTTCTTTTTTCTTTCTTTTCTTTCTTCTTTCTTTTCTTTCTTTTTCTTTATAGTTTTTTGTGGCTTTCTTTCTTTCTTTCTTTCTTTCTTTCTTTTTTTGCTTCTTCCTTTCCTTTCTTTCCTTATTTATCTATCGTTCTTTCTTTCCCTCTTTCATTCTTTCCTCCCTTCTTTTCTTTCTTTCTTTCTTTTTCTTTCATTTTTTCTTTCTTTCCCTCTTCCCCCCTTTCCCCCTTTTCTCCCCTTTCCCCCGTTTCCCCCCTTTTCCCCTTTTCCTCCTTTCTTTCTCCCACCTCCCGCTGAAGACACCGAGGGCGGCTCCTTTGTTCCCCTGCAGGCTCCCGTCCCTCCCTGTACCCTCCACCTGGGCTGCGGCTGTCGCTCCT